GTACATTTACACAATGGAGTATTACTCAACCATTAAAAATGACGTCATAAAAATGACATCATGAAATTTGCGGGCAAATGAATGAAACTCGAAAAAAATCATCCTGAGTGAGTTATCCTAAACCCAGAAAGACAAATATGGTATGTATTCACTTCTGTTTGGCTATTAACTGTTAAGTCAATGATAACCAAGCAAGATAAGCATAGAACCACAGATGGAGAGTATAGAACAAGGGACTGGAAGGAACAGATAGACCTCATTGGGAAAGAGAAATAGACTAGATAGAGCATTATGGATGCATGGGAGGGGGCTGGAACGTGAGGATCAAGTGGGGAGAGCAGAAGCCATGCAGAAGCTTCTCAGTTTATTGTTGATCTTAGTGCCTATGCTAATGATGTTCTGTTCAAAAAGTCTTTTTCCTGTTCCATTGAGTTCAAGGCTATTCACCACTTTCTCTCCTATCAGGCTCAGTGTATCTGGGCTTTATGTTAAGGTCTTTGATCCATTTGTAGTTGAGTTTTGTGCAGGGTGATAAGTATGGATCTATTTGGATTCTCCTATACGAAGCAATAAAGTTTGAAAAGTACCGTTTGTTGAAGATGCTTTTTTCCAGTGTGTATTTCTGGTTGTGGAAGAGAACATGGGGAGAGATGGTGAAACATTATGGGGCATTTGAGGGGTAATATGAAGACCTAATACAGTAAAAACTTCCTAAAATATATACATACATGGAGGTGATCTTAATGAAATTTCCAAATAATAGGGGAGAGAGAACCCCCCACTGGCAATCTCTTGTCACCAAACGAAGCTTCCAGTACTGGGAAGTGGTTACATCTAATTGTATTGTTGGCCAATAGGGCCCCATGGGAATCCCCAAACAACCCAGGCTGTTGTCAACACTATAGGTTTTTCCTATATCCAATGGAGATGTTGATCTGATGCCTACAGAGAGCCTTCACTCCTACATTCCAGCATCTCTGGTACAGAAAGGTACTCCACAGGCTATCAAAAGAGAAAGGTAAACATCAAGCCAGCCCCAAACCTTTTTTCTGCAATGGTGTACTGCTGAGCAGATACCCTAGGGCAGTGGTGGGGCAGATGCTTGTGGGAGCAACTAACCAATGCCTGAATTAAGGCCCACCCCACAAGACGAATCACTGCTTGAGTGGTCAAGAACCTGAGACTAGATAGCCCAGGGACCTCTGGTGAAATCAGACAATACTGGTCTAAGAGAATAAAATAAATGTAGTGATAAAATGACTCATGATATTCTGCTGTGCTCATAGATCAGTGCCTTGGTCAGCCATCACCAGAGAAGCTTCCTCCTGCAGCAGATGGGAACAAATATGGAGACCCACAGACAGACATTGTGAAGAGAGTGGGGGACTTTGGAACACTCAACTCTAAATGGGATATCTCCCATCAAATCCTTCCCTGAATACCTCAGGGAACCCCTTGGAAGAGGAGGTAGAAAGAGAGTAATAGCCAGAGGGGACGGAGGACAAGAAAACAAGGCCCTCTAAATCAACATAAGCAAAGCTCATCTGAACTCAGAGAGACTGAAGCAGCATGTACAGGGACTGTCCGGGTCTGAATCAGGTCCTCTGTATGCATATTATGGCTTCCAGTTTAGTGTTATGGGATTCCTGAGTGGGTGAATGATTCTTGTGCCTTCTTTTAGGCCCCTTTCCTTCTGTTGGTTTGTCTTGTCCAACTTCCATGTAATAGTTTTGGTTTTATTATATTTCATTTTGTTATATTGGTTTTATTATATTTCATTTTGTTATATGTCTCAACCCCCTAAGAAAAGAATGAATGAATGAATGAATGAATGAATGAATGAATGAATGAAACCTAACCACTAAGATAAAGGTTAACAACTGAACTATCAATTATATCTGCTAGGAGAGAGAAAGTCAATTTTCTCCATGGGTATATCAAACACTCCAGGGCAGGCCTCAAGTTCAGGAATAGTCAACCAATATATAATGGGCCCCACACGTTTTTTTGTTTTTGTTTTTGTTTTTGTTTTTGTTTTTGCTTTTATTTGGTTACAGTTGGGTGGTTTTGGTTTTTTGTTTTGTTTTGTTAGTGTTGCTTTATTTTTGCTTTTGTTTTGTTGTGTTGGGTTTTTTGAGAGAGAACTTAAAGCTGGATGGGTAGAGATGGGGAAAGGATCTGGAAGAACTTGGGAGAGGGGAAGAATAGGATCATAATATATTTGAAATTGAAATTTAAAAATTGTCTTAAATAAAAATACTATTAAAAAAAAGAAGAGAAAGTGCTGTGATTTCAGGCTGATTTTTTGAAGCCTTCTATTGAGGCTGGCTAGGTGTTAATCACTACTTTTAGGAACACTTCACTCCAGGCATCTCTATCGCTGTTTCAAACTATAATCATCAAAAAGAGAGAAATAACACCCTTTAGGAGATGTATCAAATGTTCCTGAGCCAGAAGCAGACATTGAACAATTACTAGGTGGTAAAGAAAAAAAAAGGTAAAAATTACAATCCAGCTGTCTCTCTTTTCAGTTCTGGGATAAATCATTTTTCCTTCAATGTCACAAAGTATAACAAAAAATAGATGCCGTGAAAATTGGACTTGAAAGTGGCAGCAAATATCAGAACATTGGTCAGGAACATTGAGCTCGCTACAGCCGAGCACTATTCAGTCTCAATTCCAGGGAAATTGGGGTTGCTGCCTGGTGGTCTTAGTCTCATTAAGAACGGACCCAAATAGAAGTTCAAGAACAATTGTATTAGTTTAAAAAAAAAAAAACACCCCCAAACATCCGAAGGCAGGTAAGCTGTAAATCTCATCAGCTGTCAGAGGAAGAGAATGGAGAGGTAGGGGAAGCTGTGCTGTTTAAGTGGGCACGGAGGTCAGACACGGGGTGGACAAGCAGCCACATGGCAGGCAGGGAAGCATCAGAGAAAGAGTGCAGAAGCCCAGAATGTTGAGGGAAGCCTCAAGTGTTAGGCGCTGCATGCTTAGAGCTGAGATGGTGAGAAAAGAAAAGCTATATCTGTTTGTTTATTTCTGGATCTTTCAGAAAAGCAGGAAAACTTAGGAACCAGTCTGGCCATGTCCCGTAAGAGACCGTGGTAGAGGGTGGGGATTCAGAGAAGGAAAGTATAGTATCCCATTAAAGGACTAATTAGTCCGCTTATCTCTTTAGTGCTGCTTAAGGTAAGCCTACCTTCTAGGGGTAGTCCTTTGGCCAGGTGATTGACACGGACCAACAGCGTTGCTATGTCTCCCCAGGACAGAGACTCTGGCCTCTGAATCAGAAACGGATTTTCCTAAAAGGTCTTTATTGCTACTCTTACAGTATCAGGCTTATTTGAAAGATTTCACAATAATCATGTTTGGGTAAATTTTAGAGAATAATTTGCAGAAAAATATTTGAATCAGTGCTACATTTAGAACAGTCATATTGTAAGATACATAGGCTTAACCTGGTCACTTTAAAGATGCTTCTCAAGAGGTCGGATGGGTGAGAAGACACTTTGGGCTATCTTGAATTATTAAATTTATATAGTGTTCCAGACATTGTGATCTCATTTAATCCTGTTAACAGGAGCTATGATCATTTAAAAAGAAAACGGAGCACTTGCCATCAATGGTGTTACTAGATGAAATTTAGACAGATCTGTGGACTCAAGTAAAATTTACTTTGCACTGGGTAACCCAGACAAATTAAACATGATCCCATGCTCCGCCTTAAATGCTATGAACCAAAGTTGAGCAGGCAACCGTGGAAACAAGGCATATCCTAGGCTCCTCGTGGTTTTCAAGATGACATGCGAATTTTATGGCTGAACACACCATGACCTTCCAACTCCCAGATCGGTCCACCAAGTTCCGGGGTACTGCGGTTGCCCTTTGCACGACAGACCAAAGATGCCAGCACTAGTTTCGTGGCGCTTACATCTTGGGGAATCTAGGCCTTAGAAGACTCATCTGCATTCCCATCTCCGCCTCACCAGGGCCACCTTAGCCCCCCTGCCCCTGTCCACAGTTCTGATCCTGTTCCCTCCAGCTTCTCGACCCGGCCCTGTAGGCACCAGGGATGTGGGGCGACCCGGACTCCGGGGTACACACCGGAAGCGGTGTCGGTCTGTGACGTAGGAGGAAGTGACGGCCTGTGGTTGGGCGGTACAGGAGAGGGTGCCCCAGTCTGAAGGTTCCCCAGCGTCCAGAGAGCTGAGCCGGTTGAGAGCGCCGGGAAGTTTCCTCAAGTCGAGCCAGGTGGGTGCAGCTCGCTCAGCGCCTGGCTTGCGGGGCGTGTGAGGAACCCAGCTCTGCCCGTCACAGCAGCAGGCTGCTCCCTGCTTTACTCTACCTCAACCCTGAGGGCAGCACTGACTCCTCTGCTTGTGGGGGAGAGGCTGGGACTCAGACCGTAACCCGTGTTGCAGGTGGGACAGGGACAGACCTGCATTCCAAGCAGGTTCCCGCTACCGCCAGAGCCCTTGTTCTTTTTAAGGTTTTCAAGCTTTGAGTGTCAGGGTGGCGGGGACCTTGGTTAGTAGATAAATTCTAGGACTCCACAAACTAAGTCTCACTCGGCACTCTAGAATTTTTATTTTCCTTAGTTGTCCTAGACGAGGGACATCGCTCCCGGGTGAGTGAGCAGCAAGGTGGGCGGGTCGGAGGCCTTCGGGGACCACCGCCTGCCCTCGTCTGAGTCCTTTAGGACCTCCCACACTTTAAGACTTCTTTCACACATCTCGTAAGGCTGGAGAGCTGGATTTGCTTGTTTCCTTAACTCTTTGGGGCAGGTGACAGCCTCTGCATGTCCCTACCTGATAAATGATAAGCACGGGATCGGTTGCTGTTGATGAGGCAGCGTCCCAATATTTAGCTCAGGCTTCCTGAACGCTGGGATTACAGGAGCGTGCTGGTAAACCATAATTCTTACCACCTAAGGAAATTTAAGATTGGAAATTTAAGCATAGAGTCCTGAGCCCAGAGCTGTTGGACCAGAAGGTCTAGGAGATGGGGCCTGGGAATCTGTAGGCTGAGCATTAATGTAAGTATGCTCTCTTTGGAAACTTGAAGCTTTCCTAGACCCCAAAATAAGTGGCTCTAAATTCAGAACATATGGCCCAACCCTCCTGGATTCTGTATTTGCTATAGGGTATAATTTTTGGCCAAAAATGTAGGGGGTTTGATTAGCTTAAAGCCTGGGACTTGATAAAAGTTGAATTTTCAGTTGATATTGATTTCCTGAGTGACTTTGTAAATCGCTAACCCTTCTGATCCCCATACATATTAGCATATCTTACCTTTCACTGCTTGTTATAAGCATAGAAATGGAATCGTTCCTAAATCGTAGTTTTGAAAGTGGTACATGAATATTTTAGATTTTCATTTTAAATTTAATTTAGTTGACAAATTATTGTATGTATTTATGGGATACTGTGACGTTTTGATATATACTTGTGATATATAATGAGTGCATCAAATTAATACATCTATTACTTCACATACCTTTTTGTGATGGGAATATTTAAAATCGACTCTTAGTAACTTTGAAATATCCAGGGATTTGGTATTTATGGTCATTGTTCTGTGCAGGAGAACAGTAAAGCTTATCTTTGTCCAAGTGAAACTTTGTACTTTCGTCCTATTCCCCATCTAGTCCCCTTCCCTAATTACAAGCAATCACATTCTACTCTGAGGGGTTCAGCTTTCCAAAGTCTTGATGTGTGAGGTCATGTAACATTTGTCTCTCTGTGCTTTTCCTACATGTGGCCAAAGTCCTTCAGATTCCTCTGTCGTGGTGCTTTTAAAGCTTCTGAGGAAATTCAGTACATCCTTTAAGGGGCCTGGCCCTCGCGGCCTTTAACAAAGCACTCGTTTCTTTTTTGAAAGCAGGTAACCATTCCATGGTCTGAATCGGGAATGAGATCTTCTGGAATCTCAGAACAGAAAGCTTTTTGTTCAACATGGAGGACAAAAGACGGCGAGCCCGAGTGCAGGGAGCCTGGGCTGCTCCTGCCAAGAGCCAGGCTACTGCCCAGCCAGGCAAGAACCTGCAGGGACTGGGTGTGTGGATGTGGACAGCTGCCACCATCTCGTTTATATCCTTTGCTCTATAATGAACTCCCACTTGAGTTGGTAACGGTTTTCTTTAACTGTGACTGGCATTTTGTCTGATCTTATTGATGGTGAGCTAAGGACTTGAACTCGGTTCCTCCTGTTTAGTCAGTCCCCTCAGAGTGTGTTGCGGCTGTTCGGTGCCTCTGCCCATTATGATTTGAGATCGTACGTCATCTTCAAGGAGGTTTATTGGCTCCTGTTTGAGACTCTTCTCTGCCATTTCAGCTGCTGCTGCTAGGAGCCGCCTTTCCCAAACGCCGGGGCAGGCCTGGAAGAACAAGGAGCAGCAGCTGCCTGAGAGAGCGTTTGTGTTCCAAGAACCTCAGCTGGTAAATGGTTGTTTCTCCTTCAGCAGTAACAGAGGCGTGCTTAGAGAAGCTGTTTCTGTAGCAGGGACTCCAACAGGGGCTGAATAAATTTGCTTAGGAGTAGCCAAACAAAAGGATTCTAATATAATAATAAATATGAACTATTTTAGTGTTCTTATATGTCTGAAGATTCTTTGTATTCTGCCCTTTTTTGGGGGATGGGGACAGGGAAGCTGTACCATGACAACCACTTTAAGGGCTATACTGTGACTAGTGCTTGTGTGGACTAAGACCTAACAGTTCTGTAATGATGCTCTCTTCAGAACTGTTACAGAAAATCCTTCTGAAAGGTCAGTGATTGTAGCAAAATGCCTGATTTTTTAGCCCCCTACCTCCCATGGAAAATAAGTATAAAACCCACAGACGATTCAGTTTTGGGGGGACAAGGGTGTTGCAGGACTGGGGGTCAAGCTCAGAGTCTTATATATGCTAGACCAGTTCCTCTTTTATTTTCATGTGTGTGTTATGCAAATGCACGTTCATCTACATGGGTGTGCATGTGTATGTGCCCGTAGATGTGTGTGCGGAGGCCAGAGGTTGACATCACGTATCTTCCTCAGTTGCTCCCCACCTTATATCGAGTCAGGGTCTCCCAGCTGAATATAGAACTTTCTGATTCAGCTGGTCTAACGAGCCAGTTTGCCCTGGGAGTTCCCTGTCTCCACCTCCCGAGCTCTGGCATTGCAGAGAAGCCTCTGCACCCTCTCCGCATTTACATGGTGTGGAGGATTTGAACTGAGCCTCTCATGCTTTTGTAGCAAGTGCTTTATCAACTGAGCCAGCTCCTCACTTCCTCAACTCCTTCACTTACAAGAGTTAATAATAAAACGGAAAAAAATACAGTTTGAAAATTAGGCACCTTAGTATAATAACAACCTTATAAATCAGTGGTTCTCAACCTTCCTAATGCTGCAGCCCTTTCACAGTTCATGTATGATGACCTCAACCATAACATTATTTCATTGCTACTTCATAATTTTGCTACTGTTCTGAATCAAAATGTAAATGTGTGTGTTTTCCGATGGTCTTAGGCGACCCCTATGAAAGAGTTGTTCAACTCCTAAAGAAGTTGTGGCCCATAGGTGATATAAATAATTATCAAAACTCCTCTTAGAATGTATCTTCTCCTAAAAAAAAAAAAAAAAAAAAAAAGTCTTCTGTATTAATAAAAGGTTTCTTCAGTTTCTGGCCAACACGAAAGTTGATGAGTTCTAATTGTATCACGCTTTCTGTCAGCTGGCCAGTGTGACAGAGTTGTAGGAATTGCAGAAACAATGCTCTGTTGGGGTAGTGGGCATGGAAAAAGGCTAGCTGTAAACCTGGCTTGGTTTTGGCTGGAAATGAGAGGTATGGGGTTATTCTTGACCCTTGGGAACCATCCCAGAACTCAGATCTGCCTGTTTCCTTGCAGGTTGTACGTACAGCCCCAGAACCCAGAGTGATTGAGTAAGTAAGCATTGTCGGCATTGAAGTGGGTGGCCAGGATCTTTCCCTCCATGATTTTCCCATTAAAAAGAGAATGGCTCATTATCTCTAAATTTTTAGCTGGAAGGAATAGTTCTACCTCAGTCTTTGAACTTGATCTTTCGAGGAGACTTTCTGGGGTTGCTGATGGTATAGAAAACACAGCAAGATCTCTGCACATTGAGTTCTGCCTCTGGGGAAAATTTCCTGGCCCCGTCTCATTGGTGTTAGAGTAGGCTGGAGACAGAAAAGGCTTTCTCCTAAATCCTGGCAGCTTGGTTTGTTGAGAAACCTGTAAGTACCATTTTACTAACAGTCCTTATGAAAGCTTCTCTAACCTAGATGACCCTACAGCCCATTTCTTAAAACCACGGGGTTGTTCCTGAGCGATTTAAGCAATGCTAAATGTTCCTCTTGTATTGATCTGTGTCTGAAATGTTCTCCAAAGCTGATAGATATTTTGGCTTCTTTTCTCCTGCCTCCCACTCTCCACCTGATGTAAATAAATTATCAGTATGAACCATCCTTTTATGTTAGCAGTTAGCATCAGATGGATGTTCTTGCCCATGAGCAGTCTGTTTTGCTTTATAGATATTTTAGATTGGTTTTTTACAAGGATTTGAAACTAACACAAATGTCAACATAATTTAAAAAAATATCTAGTCACATCTTTGCAACTAGTTAGCTATATAACTAGTCCTGAGTTCTTTCCACATGTGTAGAGTTTGATTTTCTTCTTTGTATGTTAAGGATTAGTATTCCATTTACTTAATCCCAGTCTAGGTCTACTAGTCTTTGACTGTTTGTATAGTAGCTGTGCGATATCTCCTCCATCAGTGATAAAATGAACAAAGCCATGAAACCATGACAGTCAGGCTGAAATGGGAGGGATGCAATTGTAAGTTTACAAGTCAAGAAAAGTCACAGCATCTACCCCTGTTTGTTTGGGGTTCAGCCTTGCTGTATCTAAAGTTAACTCTCCTAGGCTTTGTTTGTCAGTTCCCAGAAATGTGTTTCATGTTTGAAGTGAGACAGTGTCTAGATACAGTTCGGTATGCCTCATTAAAACACAGTATTCATGCCTCAGAACCTCTGTAGACAACGTCTGTAGATGTGGTCGTTGTGAACTATATGCCAGCTATGGTCATTCAGCTTCCTAGAGCCTAGCTCAGAGGTCATGAACCACTGACCCCCTGGAGAGAGGGGATATGAAAACCTTTAAAGTAGTGTCTGCTCTCTTGCTCTTCTGCCATGAACCTTACATCTGCATATCTGTGTTTCATACCTTTCTACATTTGATTAAATTCAGTGAACTTTTCTCACCATCCAGTGTGTGTAAGCTGTGAAAATAAGCCACTCTAGTGAATAAAATACACATGTAAACAAGTTGTAATTTTGTGCGTAAGATCTAATACTGGCACAGGGTGAGATGGGTGATGTTACTGGCACAAATGGTCAGGGAAGGTTTAGAAGTGGGCCTAAGTGAGATTTTTGTAGGGGAAGTCAGAAGTTTTCACTGGGCCAGACTGGGAGGTAAGTTGGATAGGCGCTGCTTACTGGTAGGGAGGTATTCCAGCATACAGAAACATGGGCCAGAAACACCCACAGTGCTGTGTTAAGGGAATGCAAGCAGTTGATGCTGGAGATGGTAACTCTGGGGAGTCGTCAGAAGAGGGGTCTAGGTCTCAAGGACCGCGGATGCAGTTATGGGAACACTGAAGGCTTTTTACTCAGAGGAAGAACTCACTAGACATTTACTTTACAAGTATCAGAAGCTCTAGGTCTTGAGATGCATGCACTTGCCCCCTGGGTTGTTCGCCTCATTCCAAACTTTCCTTGGGTGATAGATTCTTAGATTATATCATAATTACGGGCAAAACCTAAGGGGTGGAATGGAGCTTACTTTCTCCCACTTTTGTCTCCGTGGCCTGATCCTGTCAGGGTTCTGTTCCCAGCACCATTAATGATGCACCACCATTTTGCCCTTGTCCAGGAGTTAAGGAGGGTGTAACTTAGCCTCCCTCATAGTGTTCTCTATCAGTAACCAATCCTAGTGAACCAGGACCTTGGGAAGACGGAAACAGGGTGGATTCTTTCGCCTCACACTAACACGTGCTTTTCCTCTGCTTCTTTAGCAGGGAAGGTGTGTATGAGATCAGCCTGTCCCCCACAGGTGTGTCTAGGTAGGTGACTCCTCATTGGAACGTGAGTGCAGCTGTCATTGAGTTATCACCTCTTGAATTGTCTTCTCCTTGTTAAGGAACAAGACTTGGGTAATACCTCCTTTTTACAAAATGTTTCTAGTATCAAAACATTGGTACAGCTTCTCCCTGTTACAGTAACTATCATGACTACAGTTTTGTGAGGAAGCAAGGCCCAGAGAGACTGTCCTTTTTCTGCACCCCCACTCACAGTAACTTAGTGCCAGCACTGGCTCAAGTCTTCTGTGAGCGCTTCCTTATTATTACTGCACTTCAGGAACTATGTATGTATTCATTATATAGTATTATATTGCCACATCAAGGTGAATTGAAGGTAAAGTTAAATCATATTAAGTGCAGTCACTATTTTAAAATATTTTGAAAATAACTTAATGCACAAGTATATTAACTATCACCATAAACCAGTGAGATAAACAAATGCATCAGAAATGACAAATGAAAATTGATTAACAGGAGCCTCTGCTGGATGTGGAGCACCCTGTAAAATTGGCTGGAATGGCTACTGTTTTAATCCCTTTTGGAACCTCCCTGTCTTAGTTTGTTTTCTATTGCTGTGATAAAGACAGTGACCAAAAGCAATGTGGGAAGGAAAGGGTTTATTTCATCTTACAACTCTCAGGTCACAGTCCATCACCGAGGGAAGTCAGGGCAGGAACGGAAGCAGAGACCGTGGAGGAGTGCTGCTTACTGGCTTGCTCTTCCTAGGTTAATCTGTGTGCTTAAACATCCCAGGACCATCTGACGAGGGATGGTATTCCCACAGTAAGCTGGGCCTTCCCACCTCAATCGTCAATCAAGGCAAACTCCTACAGACTTACCTATAGGCCAGTCTGATAGAGACAATTCCTCAGTTGAGATTCCTTCTTCCCATATGACCCAGGCTTGTGTCAGGTTGACAAGAAATAAAAACAACAGCAACAGCAAAACAAACTAGCCATCCAACCGGGACATTCCTTTAAAGCCAAACTTTAACAGCCAGTGTGCGGAACCAGCTGTCTTGTCTTGGTCAGCCATGTCTTGTGTTAACTAGGTAGCCCTAGATGACCTCTGGGTCTTCTAAATCACATGAACCTTCTGAGGGCTTGCTGCTGTCAAGACTGAAAGAGAGTGCATGTCCAGACTTTTCTTAGGAAAGAGATACAAAGTGACCTTTTCAGCTGAGTCTGTAATAGGATGAGAACTTATTTAGTAAAAGGGAGACCTCATTTGGATGTGTTTGTTTTGATAGCTGTGATAGTCTCTGTCTTCTAATGGATGTAGTTTTAAAAAAATTATCTTTTGACCCCCGCGTTTTACTGGTAACTCTTCATAGTGGCCTTATGAAATGGATGTCATCCTTAGGTTACACTTTTGGAAACTGAGGGACATTGAGTGCCTACCCAAGGTTTTGAAACTAAGCCATGCTAGTAATCTCTGTCCTTTATCTCCTGGGCAGTATCTTGAATGTTGTTTGAAGCAGAAATCTAAAAAGACCTCGTGCATCCCTGGTACTTCCTTGTGTCATTAGTGGTACCGTGAATGGAGTTTATTTTACATGAAGATCACGTGGGAGGGAAGTGGTGAGACGGTTTCCTCTTCCCTTTCAAGTGAAGGTCAATCAAGTGATCCCCCAGTCGTTACTCTGTCCGCCTCTTCTGTGCAGTTTAGCTAATGACAGTTCTTTCTGCATGAAGGGTGCGTTTATATCCTGGCTTTGTGGACCTGAAGGAAGCTGACTGGATATTGGAGCGCCTTTGTCGGGATGTCCCCTGGAAACAGCGGATGGGCATCAGAGAGGGTAAGTAGGCCTCCAGGCTGCATAGTCCCCATTCAGATGTTTTCCAGTTCCCTACATCTGCTTCACACAGCTGGTCTCAAGCAGGTTCAAACCTAGAACTCCCTAAGGGACAGACAGGAAGGAAGGAGTATGCCAGGCAGAAGCCACAGCCAGCAGAGTCCCAGAGGTCAGGGAGAGTGGACAAGAGAGAAGCAAGAGCTCAGAGAGCCAGGAAAACCTGCCTGGCTGACCCGCGGCTGACCCGCTCTCCCTTTCACTTTATCTGCTTCCTCTGTTTAGTTCTGATGGTGCTCAGTTCTTCTTCATAGAAGTTTCCAGAGCTTTCTTTGTGCTAATCCATTTGGCACACATTTTTCTCAAGTCCTTCTTACTGACTTTGTGTTCTCTTTCCTGTCGCTGGAGTCGGCCAGTCTCTCTCAGTTTCAATGTCCGCTCGCATGTCAAGATGTTATCTGCCTTTTCTGTTGCGCTCCCTGCACCAGCATACCACGCGTGGCCACTAGGTGGCGTCTGTGCTCTAGCATAGACTCCAGTAGGCTGTGGAGTGAGTTTGAATTGCTTGTGAAAAAAGAGACAAAGTGTGTGTAAACTGGCTTCTTTTTTTTAATTATTATTATTATTTTTTTATCTCGGGTGTCAGAATATGAGCCAGCCTTCTTAGGGAAGCCTTCTCCCTATTCCAGGAGTTTTCACAGTGTGGCTTTTGGTTGCTGGCTTTAGCATTCCAAATAATGGTTAATTTTGAGCAAATTACAGTCGTGACTCTATAATTTTAGGTTTTCTTATCTTTAAAATTTATCTAGTAGTACATAAATTATAAAATTCATGTGTTAATTAAATTCAAATGATGCATGATATCTGCTTAATAGAATGCCGACTGGGGTGTGGGGGGGGGAGGGGGGCCTTTAATGAACATTGGCTCCTCCCACCCCTTTTTGGCAGTTCTGGGTTCAAACCTAGGGTCTTAGGCAGGCTTAGAAAGCTCTACCACTGAGCTACATGTACCCAGCCCTGTACTTAATCTTGTTGTTGTGGCCGATGTCTGCTGGGGAGAGATGGTAACCCCCTAACCTCTCTAAAATAGTCTAGATACCATACATTTGTGACAGGCAGGTGTGTGCTACGGTTGCTTACACTTTTTAGATCAGAGGGGCATGTACAGTGTTGCTAGGACACATAGGTTCTCTTGTTTTTCAAATGGATTATTGGTACCACAGATTCCTTTTCCCAAGGTCTAGGGTCCATATTCTGCTTTTTGAGACTTTTTTTTTTTTTTGCTGTGACTGAAACAAACAGATGATACACATTCCCTCCCCAGAGGCTTTGCCCAGGCTATCCCTCCCTTCCCAGAGCCTTTGCCCAGGCTATCCCTCCCTCCCCAGAGCCTTTGCCCAGGCTATCCCTGCCAGCATGTCTTCTTTCCTGTGTAGCCCGTCCAGCTTCCACTAGCCCCCTCCCACATCCTGTCTGAGGAAGGGACTAAGTCGGCCTTTCTCTTCCTTCGTGTTCCTCACGCTTCTTGCACAGTGCAGGCATGGATTGGCTGGCAGCAGACACACCTTACCAGCAGCAACTGTCTCAAGAGCCCTGTATTTTCTTTCTTAGATATAACTTATCCGCAACCAAGACTTACAGCATGGTATGGAGAGCTTCCTTACACTTACTCAAGAATCACTATGGAACCAAATCCTCACGTATGTTGAAATGATGTCACTGGTGTGGTTTGCTGGTCTAAGTGTTGAGTACTAAAAGTAAGTCCTCAGAGAGGCACGTGATGGTTCCTGCTTCAGAAAGTCCTCTGGGTTCAGAAACCTCCCGCTGCTTGTCCTCTGTGAGCTCATGACTTGTAAATGAGCTCAGAGGATGGGCGGAAACTGGAACAGTGAATTGGGGCTGGAGTGTGGGCTCCCAGGGGAAGGAGCTGTCTCTCCCGACCCCTCCTCCGTGAACGCTGCTTGTGTCCTGCTGTGTGGCACACCCCTGCAGCCGGCCAGTGAGGGTAGGGCGCCCTTCCGTTTCTCAGCTCTGTTGTGACTTGTGAAAAAACCTGGGTTTTGTTAACTTTATGTTTGTTCTGTGGGTACCGTTTCCAGACTTCCAACTTACTGCCACTTGGGCTTGTATCTACTGCTTCTTTTGGTAGTACATGCCTATAACCCTACAACTCAGGAAGCTAAGGCAGGGGCATCATAAGTTCAAGGCCAGCCTGAGCAGCACAGTAAAACCCTATCTCTTAAAAAAAATTCCGTGACAGCAGACAAAGATATTTTGGTATATAAATAAGCTTGTCCAAAGGCTAGAGTTGAGGTCCAAGAAATAGCTCCCTGTTTAGTTCTTGGACTCGTGCCTTTGACAAAAATGTTGTGCTTTCTTGAAAGAGACTTTGAAGAAATGGAGTTTTGCTTATTCATCTGGACACACAGAAGTGTGACATGTTTTAGAACCTTGGCAAGATGTAAGCACAAAGCCCCTGTGTGCTGAGGTACCCAGGGACGACATGGACACAGTGTGGCTGTCACAGGAGGACGCTGCTGCTTTGATGGGCTGTTTCCCAGGGCTGGATGAAGACTGTGCCTTTAGAGTTGTGGAGACTCCTTTTCTCTGAAGTAGATTTGGAGACAGTGAGGAACAAAAGCTGTCCCCACTTGGTCACAGCCGTTTACCTGCTTATCCACAGTGGCGAAGCTGGGGGCCAAGCAGGCTTGGGCAGGTCCTTCTTCATTCATTCCAGCTTGTCCTTCAGTCAGCTTTCTCAGCAGATGTTGCTGGGCATCGGTTGGGGGCAGTTCCTGGCTGAAAACCCACCCTTTTAGAGTGCGCAGAAGCCACACCACACAGCCTTGCTACATATCGTCTTTCACTTAGGAGGCATTTTTAAAACATCTTTCCAAGAGAATTTTTTTTTAATGACAAGCCTTTTTGACTCTTATTGAAATTGTAGTCTCCGCACTTATGAAGAGGAAAGAGAGCTCTAGGTCTGAGATAGTTAGATCCTTCCCTGGAAAATCGTAAGTGGCTTGGGCATGTGGCCTAGTTGAACAGCACTTACCTACTGTGCACAAGGCCCTGGGTCTTGTTCTTAGCACCACAAAACGTAAACCAACCAAACCAAACAAAACCCCCTTCAATGAATAAGACTGAAAAATTATCTATGTGTTTCTCTTACCTATATATCATTAACAAATCTTAGAATCCGTAAATATGCTATATGGATTTAATACCTGTATAATATTTCATAGTCTTTAAATACATTAATTTATTCAAGCAAGCCTCTTGTTGGACATTAAGATTGTCAAAATAGGGCTAGAGAGATTGCTCAGCCACTGAGTGCCTGCCGCACAGGCGTGAGGACCTGAGTTTGACCCCCACCTTCCAAACCCAGGGGAAAGAGCGTAGGAGTGCATGTTTGGAATCCCAGTGCTGAGAAGTGCTGGCCCATTAGTCTAGCCTACTTGGTGAATTCCAGGCAAGTAAAGATCCTGTATCAAAATAAAGAAAGAAAGAGAAAGAAAAAAAGAAAGAAAGAAAGAAAGAAAGAAAGAAAGAAAGAAAGAAAGAAAGAAAGGAAGGAAGGAAGGAAGGAAGGAAGAAAGGAAGAAAGAGAGAGAGAGAGAAAGGAGAAAGAAAGAAAGGAAGAAAGAAAGGAAGAAAGAGAGAGAGAGAGAGAAAGGAGAAAGAAAGAGAAAGGAGAAAGAAAGGAAGAGGAAGGAAGGAAGGAGAGAGAGAGAGAGAGAGAAAGAAAGGAAGAGGAAGGAAGGAAGGAGAGAGAGAGAGAAAGAAAGGAAGAGGAAGGAAGGAAGAGGAGAGAGAGAGAGAGAGAAAGAAAGAAAGGAAAGAGAGAAAGAGAGAGAAAGAAGAAGAAAGAGAGAGAGGAAAGAAAGAGAGAGAAAGGGAAAGAAAGAACGAACCAGACCGCACCTATTCGGATGATATTAGACATTATCTTCTGGTCTCTAAGTGTTATACATGTGGGAACACATTTACACAAAAGGTGGCGCACACCTTTAATCCCAGCACTCGGGAGACAGAGCCAGGCGGATCTCTGTAAGTTCGAGGCCAGCCTGGTCTACAAAGCGAGTTCCAGGAAAGGCGCAAAGCTACACAGAGAAACCCTGTCTCAAAAAACCAATTTAAAAAAAAAAAAAGATTCTCAAATTATAAGTCCTATTGTGGAATTTTGTGTGTTTATTGCTGATATATTTAGTATACACACATTTCTTTTGAGACAAGTCCTCATTAGATAGATAGGCTGGCTCCAACTTTCTATAGCTAAGGATCGCTTTCAACTCAAACTCCTGCTGCTCTAGCCTCCCAGAGTGGTGTCAGAGGCATGTCCACCCGCCCAGCTTCAGCCCTGGGTTTTGAAGCTTGTTTGTCTTTGTACAAACTGAATGATAACGGGCCCAGTGAAGAAAATAGATTAAAACTTAGTCAGCTGCAAGCCCCACCAACGAGACCTCTTCTTTCTGTAGACCCAGACCCACCTCTGTGGCCCGGCGGTCACTCTGAAAACTGTCGGAAGCCGGTTTTCGTCTTCTGTGTTCTCACACTTTCCTCTGATGTCCTTTAAGGATAGAATGCCTTCCCTGAGCAGCAAGATGACGCTGAATTTTAATTTAGACATTCAGTTCTAAGGGATCTCTATTTAGAGAATTGGTTAAAGAGCCTAAATTAATCCTCCGTTACCCTCTGCATATCCCCCTTTCTCTATACTTCACTACCAAAAATAGCCGGGAGAAAACCATATACCACTTAGAAACGTAATGCAAACTTAATATGTTGCCACGGTGTTGAGTCCCAAACGAGTCAGGCAAGTGCTAATGAGATTCTCCGTCACAGTCTAGAAAAGCCATCTTCTTTCCATTCTTGTTTTCTTGTTAAGTGTGTAATTCTAGCATCCAATCTCTCTGTGAAGGTAGATTACAGCTGGGAGATGGGCAGGCAGCTCAGCTTGCCCATGTGGTAGCCGGGATTTCATTTTAGAATTTGTTCTCTTGAACGAGGGCCGGCTTACTAACATTTTTGTTTTGCTGTGCTGACCTAAGTTCTGTTTGCTGTTGCCGTTCCGTTTCTAAGTCCTCTGCTGATGTGATGCTGGTAGGCACAGAGAGGCCCAGCGTTCATTCCGGTGTCACACTGCAGTGCCGCTCCAGTGCTTCTGTGGCAGGAGCGGGGCTAGACTCAGTGCTGCACTGTCCCTCTGAGCACCCATCCTGTCACTACCAGGTGGGACACAGCCATTGCGGAAGCGCAACCCACGGGCCCAGGAAGCCTCTGTAGGGACTGCGCTATGTTTTCACAACAATGCAAGAGGGTGCGTTTGTAACTGTAGCATCTGCTCTGATGCTACAGAAATGCCTGTGGATGACCAGGGAGCACCTCGGCACCAACGAACTGCCAGTGGTCACTGTGCTCCCCACCACTGCTCACTCCCGCCTACAGCTTTCAAAATGCTGAGTTCAGTGCCCATGAGATGGCTCAGTGGGTAAAGGCACTGCCCCCCAAGCTTGATGACCTGAGTTCAGTCCCATGACCCCACATGGTGAAAGTGGAGCACTAATCCTGCAAATTGTCCCCTGACTGCCACATATGTGCTGTGTACACGTGGGCACATGTGCACACACACTAAAGTAATGGAATTTGAAAAGGTAAAAATGGGGGGCTCTAGAGACAACTCAGAGGTTAGGAGCACGTGATGCTACTGGTAGATGACTTGGATTCAGTTCCCCATACACAACTGTCTGTAACTCCAGTTACCAGAGATCTGATGCCCTCTTCTGACCTCTGGGAGCACCAGGCACACATATAGTATAAATACATACCTGCAGGCAAAACACTTGTACTCATAAAATAAAAATACATGCACATAAAGTAAAAATAAATCTAAATTTTTTCCAATTAAAAATAAAAATGCTAAGTCAGGCATAAGTGGTGAATGCTTTTACTCAGAGATCTGCCAGCCTGGTCTACAAAGTGAGTTCCGGGCTAGCCAGGGCTATCTAGAGAGACCCTGTCTCAAAAAACAAACAAAAGAGCTAATTTCATTGAAAATTAGCCTTATGAAAACAGTAACCTAAGTTTTATTAAATCCTGGAATTCAAGTACATCTGAATAGTTCATTTGATGATATTGAAAGAATACATAAAGCATGTCTCCTAAAAACTGAGTGTGATTGAGATGTAAGCTGTTCCCCCCCATAGATTAGTTTTATATAAAACAACTGGCATACAGACTCTTATTCAGATCTGAGAACCTGACTAATATGTCCTCATCAACAAGTGAAATTAGTTTCATTTCAGTGAAAAGAGTGGACAGGGTTTGTTGTCAATGATAAAAGTTGAATTTTCAAGCAAAAAAACCAGACTTTGGGGGAAACTAGCATCCATCACTTTGAGCCTGGCTTCTTCCCCTGACCTAGACTTGTCTGATGAAATTAGTGTCAATATTTACAGTTTCATTACTGTGTAAATGAAATATGTGAATGTTTAGAAGAACTGTATAACCCAGAGACCGGTGTTTCCCAGGTGACGAAGAGTATATCTTACCAAAACCACAGAAGGGTAAAGGTCCATTCAAATTGAAATGTAAAAGAACAAGACAAGTTTGAGATAGTGTCAGATTCCGGATTGCGGCTAACTCAAGAAGTCCTCACAGGCTGAGCTTTGGATGCAGTCACAGAACCCGCTCTCTGACAGGACTGTGCACTAATTTTAGCAGAGTAAATGCAGAGGCAGAAGAGCTGGCTGCCTCCTGTGAAGACAGACATTGCATTTGCAAAGCGGGGCCACTCTTGTCACATGTTTCTATTGAAATTACAGACATTTTTTTCATACAAAGTTACACGGATTTGTTGCCTTTTGAATGAACTACCAATGGTGTATTCATCTTGACACAAAGTCTTGCTATAGCCCAGGCTTGTTTTGAACTTTGTCCTCCTGCCTCAGCCTCCTGGCGTTATAGCATGTACCACCCCTCTCAGTTCAGCTTTAATTTTAATATAGTAAATATCAATAACTATAACCTAAAAGAACAAAGGTTCGAGCTGGGCATGATGGTGCACACCTTTAGTTTCAGCACTTGGGAGGAAGAGGCAGGCAGATCTCTGTGAGTTCAAGATCAGCCTGATCTACATAGCAAGTTCCAGGCCAACCAGGGCTACATACTGAGACCCTGTCTCAAACAACAACAGTAAAATTCAACAGAGGTTTTTTGAGGACATTAGTAATTTTGGTAGTGTAAAGTTTGAAAAGCACTGTCCTAAAGCGTATGCTGGGCTCTTGAGACTTTGAGTGAGACACAGAACTCTAGTGAAAGCCAGTGCACAGCCTATGACTGATGTACATAGCTCCCCGAGTATATGGCCACACGGTGCAAACTGCATCCCTGAACTGGGCATGGACAGCAAGCGGTGCTGTACAGTGTGAGTAAGTCTGTAATTTTATGGCTCTAAGAACGTGCTCTGGGTCCCATTCTATAGGACAGAAAAAGAGCGCATGTGTTTGTTGACATAGTATAGACCAGGCTGGCCTCAGCCTCAGCCTCCCAAGTGCTAGGATTACTGGCACGCACCACTCTGCCAGGCTTCGGGTTCTGACTGTAGGAAGTTAGCTACTCTAAATATTACATACTTTTCAGGAAAGCAAGTCTGTTGTTGAGAATAAACTAGGGACAGGATGAATGGAAGGCACCCCATTGAGAGTTCTCTTGCTCTTCACTTGAGCCTGAGTGTGTGGACTGACTGGCTACGTCAGCATCTCCGCTCCACTTAGCCCAGCACTGCCTTTCCAGACCACCCTCAGCGGAGTGGCATTGGCTTCTTGGTGGGGATGTGCACTGCAGGAGAAACGAGATGGTAGACAGACTCCAGCCTTGCCACTTAGTGCTTTCCTAGAGTGGAGGAGGCTGGCTGGCTTCAGCACAGAGATGGAGGGAGGAGACAAAGCTACTCCTCTGGCCTTCTGTTCATTGCATTGCCCTGCTCAGAACTCGGTTGATTTTGCCTTTCCTCCTGTTTTTCCATGGCGGCCTACTGTGTCTTGTGTGCCTGCCCCTGCACCTGCTTCGGCTCGCTGGCAGTGGCATCCCGTGCTCTGCACTCTGAAGAGCCGCGTTGAGGAGAACACTGGCTACACCTTCAACTCCTTGCTCTGCAATCTGTACCGGGACGAGAAGGACAGCGTGGACTGGCACAGTGACGATGAGCCCTCGCTGGGGAGCTGCCCCGTCATTGCCTCACTTAGTTTTGGTGCCACTCGGACTTTTGAGATGAGGAAGAAACCTCCACCTGTAAGTATTCTCTGCCGTAAACATGTGCTTTCTCTTACCTCCTAATCAGTGAAGAACACGGATCTCTAAAAGCCGCTGTTTCCAGGAGTTCGTGATATTGGTGAAATATTTTTTAGCTGATTGCTTCCTCCGTAGGAAACGTGGCTTCCAAAGTGCCCGCTCAGGCATTTGCTTACCCAACAGGAATTGTCTTCCCTATGCCTGGTCCCGTGGGCCCATCCCCACTGATGGAAAGGAGTGACAGAGTCCTTGTCCTATGCAAAGCATCTACTAGGCAAAGCATTGAAATGATTGCAGTTGTGATGCACGCTGTGACTGAAGAGTTCCAGGAGGGTGACTCAGAGTTAGGGAGATTCCAGAAACTCAAGAAAGATGCCCCTGAAGTGCCTGTCATTTCCTGTGCTCCTGTGTGCCAGGCCACTGTTCTGTGAGGGAGCATCATGCCGATCCTCACTGCCTTCTTAGTCTTCTTCTGAAAGATGTGTGAGCCTCTGACTCCTGAGAGGAAGCTCAAGCCAGGTTACCAGGCCATAGTGTGCCTAAGTTGAGGTTGGGGAGCAGTGGGTAAACGGACTTCAAGTTCCGTTTTCACCCCAGCTCTTGTGTAGATTACATGCATTTGAAAGATTTGGGACTGTTGACCCCAAGTGTTGATGTAACCAACCGTCTTATTAAATAAGAAACACAGAACCA